CCACGCATCCCGACTCGCGTCACGATCTGCACGTCTAGCAAAAGCGGCGCGCGCGCGCGGGAGAGAGATAGAGGGCGCTACCTGCGACAGGACGGAGGGCAGTTTCTCTCGCCGACCTCTTGCGTTCCTCAGCGTGCGAGCCGCCTTCCACGCAGCCGAAGATGTTCGTGCGACCCAGCGTCTGCAAGCGTTGATCGTGTCAGTTACACAGTGTAATCTTACAGTGTCTACGGGCACCGAGCGAAACCCCTCACCCCCTTTCTGTCATTAGCTTTTGCCAGTATAAGAACGGAAACTGGCATTCAAGAACTGCGAGTAAATGTAAACGAACTAGCGGACCCCCCCCCCCTCCTCCGAGGATGTTGTACGAGCAGAAATGGCCGACTAATAACTGTCGACCTGCTCAACCGTTTTTGTTTTGGAATTAGCAAAGCAGCTTTCTAATATAGCGGCGAGTGTATTGTAAGCTGACGGTTGAAACGTTCCAACAATGCCCTGTCAAGCATCGTTGGCAGGGGTCTGGCATAAACCTGAGTGGCTGAAGTACCTATAAATACCAGATACTGTTCCTTTAATTATGATGGGATGACCTCGTTCATGCATGCATTTCTAGTTCTTGGTTTGACACAGGCTATGTATCCTATAAAATTGCTTTCGCAATATGAATTACGTCAGATAGTTCAATTCAATACGATAGGTTCCATTACTTCTAATAGAGTTTGGAGAGGATACAGTCATGAGTAAATAGCCTGCATTTAAGATTAGATACTGCTGATGCTAAATATACCTTTGATGCCTCTTGCATCTTCAAACAGCTATCAAGAAATGAAATGGTTCTATCGACGGACTTGCGAATTCGTTTAAGAGAGCTCTCTTTGCCCGTGTCACTATCACAGAGAGCTTGGAACCAGTCTGGTTGAAATGCTTCCACAATAGATATATATGCCTCAATATCAACCTGTAATGTCATTAAAATATAGTTGTGTTTTTAACGATCGTGTTTCATTACAATGTTGCCATTTTTCTATGCAATAAAATCAGCAAATTTATCTCTAATATTTTTTTCTTCAAAATACATGATATCAGGAGTAGATAATAGGGAAGGAGTGTGACATCAATAAACAAGGGAAATTCGTCATTTACTAGCCTTATAATACCTACGATTTACTATGCGTAACTCATCCAACTTGAGCTCAAATCGCACACAGTACATTCGCTTAGCATCGTGCGAAATCGTTTCCTCGTATACACAAGCAATCCGGAGATACAGACTAAAACGTACGACACGATTATCCATTCTTTGGCCATCAATCCGAGCCGATTGCCCGCCTATATTCAAACAAAAGGCAGCTACTAACGCGCTATTGCTAACTCGGCGGGCAATGTGGCTCGCTGGGAGATTTGAGCCCAATCTCTGCTGATTGCGGTTGGCGTGCGTGTGTGGGGGCATGCCAGCTGTATGCCGGTATGTAGCTGTGTACCGGGTCAAAGGTTATCTCGCCGAGTGTTGCGTTGATGCTGGTTGATGCCTAATCTCCCAGCGAGCCACATGCCTCGCCGAGTTAGCAATAGCGCGTTAGTAGCTGCCTTTTGTTTGAATATAGGCGGGCAATCGGCTCGAATTGATGGCAAAAGAATGGATAATCATGTCGTACGTTTTAGTCTGTATCTCCGGATTGCTTGTGTATACGAGGAAACGATATACGATGAGTTACGCGTAGTAAATCGTAGGTATTTTAAGGCTAGTAAATGACGAATTTCCCTTGTTTATTGATGTCACACTCCTTCCCTAATATCTACTCCTGATGATATGCATGTAAAATTACGGGAAGTTTAATTAAATTTATTCATTACATGCATTAATGAAGGCAACATTATTTCATTCCCGGGGTTCGAATCTCAGAGGAAATCCGGTAATCCAAAGCATTAATTTCCCTCTGGTATTGTTGCAGATACGTTAAGACCACACAGAAAAAATCCATGAAGTCATTGATGAAAATTTCACTGATTTACAGCATGAATATAACATGTTTACTAACGTGCAGTATGTAGAATGTATAAACTGTAATTTAATAGGTACTCATGTAAGAGTATACGTATGTTCAGTTCATAATACATGTAGGGCATGTATAATAAAACACCCAAGTCTTGATAAAAAAATTATCTATCATCAAAAAAAATCCCACCGCTGCCACCATGTAATATTATGGATCAACGCATGTTTATGTTGATATAATATTTATTGTTCTGAGGAGCCATCCTCAAACACAGCTCACGCTTCCAAGCACACGTAGCAGAGAGCGAGTCTCTCGTGGAATCTCGTACGCTCTCGTGCACGTCATAACGTTACATCGTTACGCAGGACTGGAATTGTAGTCGTGCCTAATTCATCACTGGTATCCAGTTACCTTGGTCCTGCCACTTTGACCCCAGACAGACACACAGGTCTTCTCATTATATCCGGTAGGTGGCTCCACTGCTGGATCTTGAATAGATAGATACAGCAAATGATTCTGGAGAAAAAAAAAAGATTCTGACTAACAAACCAGTTTTTTCAGTAAGACAGCTGATGTCTGTAAATGAAAAGCTCAGAAGGTTTAAAAGGACAGTAGCCTCTAGGATTTTACTGCATACAACTGTACTTACTGGTATGAACAAATCGTCTATACCCACACGTATTTGTTACCAGATACGCTAATTTAAGTGTTATAATTAATTACACATCAACGCTACGAAATTTGAACGGCGCCATGACACCCGCGACCGTGCTGCCACCCGAAAAGTTGCGTATTTGACAATTTATTTTGCACGTTACAGACCGAGAGCTAATCACAAAATTGCAATTATATTTATACCTAAATGCTATTTAACCGAACGATATTCATTTTAGGGCAAATTTATCCATATTATAACTGAAACTATATTTCTTATAAACGACGGATTGTAATAATTTAAAAGCAAAAGAATAAATAAGAAACACCCTTGGTCTGTAGCCCTTGGCTGGAAAGTGGTTTTGCGCAACTTATCAGATCGTGCGCTTTAAGTGGCACCACCGTCGTTGTAATCAAACTGTAGTCGTTAGTTTTAAAACATTTAAAAAAAATATTTCTAATGGTAATTGAGCCATGAAAATTTCTTTTTATGTAGCGTAATTATAACTCAAATTAACTGAAAATAACCCTAGAACCTAGAGTAAACTATCCCTTTAAATTAAACAGGCATTGCTACTTACCTCTAATGCGAGAAATGATCCTACTCCCTTTTTATACGCTTTAAGAGTGTCACAGGATTCAACTCTGAAAAATGAAATGTTAATAAACAACAAGGACAATGACACTAAATGGAAGTTAAATGTGAGACTACTACATGTACTATAGGGATAAATCCTTCACAAAGGGTAAATACAGACTACGCACATACAGGGGTAGAAATTAACTTTTGAACAAGAGAGTCCCTCAAAAAGAGGGAGTCCGCAGCAAAATGAGGGAGTCCGCAGTCTGAGGTTCAAAATTAAAGATATTAACAATAACGCATGTGCTTATTTTTCAGATTCATGCAGTTGCACGTCTGCCAAATTTTCTTTGGAAATTAGCTGAAAGAAAACAGTAATTCCGCGATGCCGTCCTCCGGAACGAACTTGTTAGTATGGCAGAATTTTCAGGGAGTCACACGGACTCCTGCATATGTCAAATCAGGGAGTCCGACACTAAATCAGGGAGTATTCGACTCCAGACTCCCGTTAATTTCGCACCCTGCACATACATGCATGGACGCACGCTTGCACAGATCCACACACACTTGCACAGCTGCATACACACTTGCATGGATGTAAACACACTTCTACAGATGCACGCACGCTTGCACAGATGCACACAAGCTTTCACGGATATGTGCAAGCATGCTTGCATGCACACACATACTCACAGAGTTGGCAGTGTAATCTGTAAGGGGAACACGTGTTCTCGTAGCCTCTCCAGCATGTCGATTGTCAGGTGCGGTACACTGCCCCCTTGTGTGGAGGTCAGCAACAACGGTGTTGCCAGCGCCCTCTCTGGGTGGCGGGCGAGGTCGGTGATCGTCCCTAACCGCGCTTGCCCATGTCGAACCGTCTGCATGGAAAATTTCATCCTGCTGACGCCAGTGTCTCCAGATCTTGCTCGATATATTCCACCCCAGGAGATTGATTCTCTATTTCCGAACTCGCAGTCTAAGGATTTATGATGAGAATGCAGCGAATTAATGCATTTAACTTTTCAAATCTTATAATAATATAAATAAAGTGAAAGATGCCAGTGCTGCGCAGTGACAACATATGATATATATCAGGAGTAGATAATAGGGAGGAGTGTGACATCAATAAACAAGGGAAATTCGTCATTTACTAGCCTTATAATACCTACGATTTACTACACGTAACTCATCCAACTTGAGCTCAAATCGGACACAGTACATTCGCCAAT